GAAGCCACTACCCTTGCCTCAGATCAGAGTTTACAAACAAAGCAATGCAACCACCTTCCAGAAGATAGCAAATATTATTGAAAACACTTTCCCCCTTTTTTCCCCAAGTGACAGTACTCATTGTCATCAGAAAAAGAGAGCAAACAAATGTACCTCTTTCCATTCCTAAGTAGAATTCTTCATGCTACACTACAAAGCTCACTATTTTAACACTGTTGAAGAAAAAGGAATTCTAACCCAAATTTAGTATGTTTGCTACTTATGACAATTTGACAAGTTGTGTAAAGCACTGTCACTTTAAGGATTATCTGACCATGTAATTATAGGGATGAATGTTGGGAGCACAATGGTTTTCATTAATGTTGATTCTAATAGGTTTAGAGACTTTGACATATCTCTTTTTGGAAAAGAATACATAGCTGCTCATGGGGAAGATTATAACAAATGAAAAGCATTCCAAATTCTGAATTTTGTCAAAAGATATATTTTGTTACAATCATCTTCCAAAATGTGGAAAGCTAGACATAGAGTCAGAAGACCTAAATTCAAATTCTGGGTTCTCCCACTAAATTGTCCCACAATACTAGCAAGTCACCTGACTTCTCTAAGTCTCCGTTTCCTCCCATCTAAAATGAGGTGGCTAGATGACCTTAAACATGGAGTTAGCATAACAAGGTTCTGTCCCCCACTATAGCTCCTGGGTCTGACAGAGTGAGCAGTCTATGCTTATCATTCAATAAACATCTATTACACGAACTTAAGGTGACTTATAATTGTACCAGTCCATGATTTTATGGCATAAGTTTAAAGAATTTCTAAAGAATATGAAATTGCCATAACACAAGTCAGCCCCCCACCCCACACACGCTTAAGATGAGGAGATGCTTAGTAGCAGGTGAGGTTTACATAGTTCCTTTGTTGAAGAGAGAAATCAAATTGCTCTCCTCAATCTCTTGGATTAATTTAACCTTACACTGCAGACTCATACTTAAGGAAGCATGACATTTTTCAAATTTTCAGAAACTAATATTTTCATTGAGACACTTTATGACAAGAAACAGCTGAGATGGTACATCTCTATGTATTTATTCACAATAATGAAAGAGTAATAGAAGGCAACTAATCTTAAAATCAGATATATGTTTTCATTTTTTTTTTTAAGATTTATTTATTTGTTTATTTGACAGGAGAAATCACAAGGAGGGAGAGAGGCGGGCAGAGAAAGACTGGGAAGCAGGCTCCCTGCTGAGCAAAGAGCCAGATGCGGGGCTCAATCCCAGGACCCTGAGACCATGACCTGAGCTGAAGGCAGAGGCTTAACCCACTGAGCCACCAGGCGCCCTGTTTTCACTTATTTCCTTGGAAGATAAAGGACATACTTGGATATGTTAGCATTAGCCCAAACTGGTGGCGTTTCTTTTTCATTTCATCTTATCTTTAATCTTATCCTAGTGCATTGGGCTCATTGTAGTCCCAAATTGCTATTTCCTATCAATATCTCATTTTATAACATTTTCCTATGTACAGCCTTTTGAATCCTCCTTTTCTTTCCACTCAGGTTTCCTTTCCTCCAACCAAAATGTCTTTTGCTTAAACTTCTTTACCTAAAGGAATGAATAAATAAATGATTATTTCCTGGAGGCAGTTAGATTTTAAAAGAAAACCATTTCCTAAAGGAATCTCTAATCGGCCAAACTTCAGGCAATTTAGCAATCTCACTGGATTTCAGAGACTCCCCCATAGCCCTTGAGACATACAGGTAATGCTGACATCCAGGGAGGCTAAGGATGCTGCTGGACATACCAGGATGCATTGGACAGGCTACAATCAAGAATGATCCAACCCCCGCCTCCCGCCAAAAAAGGAAACATACAGGTAATTGTCTAGTACAATGGTTTGTCAAACTTTAAGCCACGGAACTCTTGTGCAAACAAAATCAGGCAGCAATCTGGTACATGGAAGAGATAAGGGCTCAAGTACTCTGGCTGAGGCGGTGGTGGATTTAGAACCTTCTCCACTCACCATGCTTCGTTCCACCAGCCATTGCTGCAAAGGCACATGACTCTGAGCAGCCCGAGTAAAAGATCAGTCCATATGTTCACACAAACACACACACATAACATAAGAGCATACGTGATACACAAGTGGATGATCCACTCTCAAGTATCCTAAAGGAGCCTACAGACGTCCGTTGCAGTAATAAATCATAGTCACATTTTTTTTTTAACACTCTGAGAGTGTAGCCAAATGAGAAATGAACAGATCAAGCAATTTAGATTTGGCCTATTATCCTCTATTTCTGTCTCATGTTTGAAACTTTGGTGTGCTCCATGGTTGGGTTGCAAAATAAATAACAGTCAAGTAAGTGTATTCCGGAGGTCAGCATTACTATTACTAGCTCCTTTATTTTATTTTATTTTTTTAAAGATTATTTATTTATTTATTTGACAGACAGAGATCACAAGTAGGCAGAGAGGCAGGCAGAGAGAGAGGAAGGGAAGCAGGCTCCTTGCCAAGCAGAGAGCCCGATGTAGGGCTCGATCCCAGGACCCCGGGATCATGACGTGAGCCGAAGGCAGAGGCTTTAACCAGCTGAGCCACCCAGGCGCCCCTACTAGCTCCTTTAGAAGAACTGGATTTCCCTTACTCAAACTCTCAATTGAATCCAATCACCAAAACAATTGCTTTTTCCTCTGAAACAAAAGTTTCAGTGGTATTTTCCCCAGATGACATTCTGAGGAAGATGGCCTCCAGAGAAACTAGCCAGATCCACTTTTTGGTGGGCTGGCCAGCTGCCTTTCTTACCCTTTCTTACCCTGCAGGCACCTGCAACCCAACAGTTTCCAAATCAAAGTCTTTCACTTTTGCCAAAAACCTGTCTCTCCTCCTGGTTAAGATCAACAGTTCTGCCTTCCAACCACACACAAAGCTAAGACCTTATAGTTACCATCAATCAGTACCATTAAATTACTGGGACTTTAAGCTAAGCAAATTATGGAGATCAGGATTTTTCAACCTCAGTGCTATTGACACCTTGGGCAGGATGATTCTCTGCTCTGGGAGGCTGTCCTGTCCATTACAGGGTATTTAGCAGCATTCCTGGCCTCTACCCTCTAGACATCACGAGACACATTCTGACCCTAGGCTTCACAATAAAAGGTGTCTCCAGGCACTGCCAAAAGTCTGCTGGAAGCAAAATCAACTCCAACTCCATTTGAGAAGCACTGATGTGGACTATCTCTTTATTCTTTGCAGTATCCCACAGGCTAAGTATTGTAGCTTCATTCCACATGGTGTAGATCAGGAAAATGGGCCTTTGGGGAAATCATTGACTTGTTCTTGGTCATTGGGCAGGTATGTGGCAGAGCTGAGTTTCAGGGTACTGTAAAAGCTGTCTCCCCATCTGTCTTTGCTACCTCAGTTCCCTTTTGCATCTAGTTGTTTTTTAGTTAAGTATTTTTTTAAAAAGATTATTATTATTATTATTCTTTTATTTAAAGATTTTATTTATTTATTTGACAGAGAGAGATCACAAGTAGGCAGAGAGGCAGGCAGAGAGAGAGAGGGAAGCAGGCTCTCTGCTCAGCAGAGAGCCAGATGCGGGACTCTATCCCAGGACCCTGAGATCATGAGGCAGAGGCTTAACCCACTGAGCCACCCAGGAGCCCCAAGATTATTATTATTATTTTTTTAAAGTAATCTGTACACCCAATGTGAGGCTCGAACTCACAACCCCAAAATCAAGAGTCGCCTGCTCCTCTGACTGAGCCAGCCAAGCACCCGTGTACCTAGTGTTTTATCTAACCACGTTAACCTTTCATTCGGAATGCCTTGATTTTGCTCCCTGCTTCCTGTTTCACTTGCTATCCCCTTTGTTCAGATCTGTATTTCCTACCTAGATTATAACAACCAGGCTCTTAATTTCTCCCTGGGATTTCAGTCTCTTCATTTTTCAGTCTCCTTTTCACATTGCTGGCAGAACATTCTCAAATATCTTATTACATAACTGCCCTATTGAAAAACCTTCTGTGCCTTCCACATTGCCCACAGGGTCCCTCTCAAAGTCTCAAAGGATGGTCCCAAGACCAGCAGCATTGGTTCTCTCCAGGCAACTTGTTAGATATGCAAATCCCTGGGCAAGCTAAGGGATAGGCAGGAAAGATTCACCAGGCAGCCTTGCTAAGTAATTGATCAGACATTCAAGAAATATTGATTACATACCTGGTCTGTGCAAGACATTCAACTAGGGTATGGGCACTTTCTCAAATATGGATTTGCAAGACTCTGTATCTGTAGGTCTGAGGGTAAGCATCCATATTTGTAAAAATCTCTCCCATGATTCCAATGTGTATTGGGTTGATCCTGACTGTCTTAATGCCTGCTTACAAAAATGAGAGACATCTCTTGCCTCCCTTGACCTGTATTGCTGGAGATATGTAAACAAATGCTAATGATGCCATGGTAACAGGAGAAGTAACAAGGACTTGCTTCTCCTCTTGTGGGTTTCCTCTGACTTTTGACTTCACTTTACAGATTCCTTTAACTTGAAAGTATTTGCACACTAACCAAACAGCAGTCATTACTGATAAAAGGCAAAATTTTGTTTGATTTTATTTATTCACCTGATCTCTGGAGTTCGAAGTTTAATATATTGTTCACGGTCTCAGATATCCAGCAGTAACCACAAATTAGGGTTACCTGTCAAACAGCCCCTAAATCTTTCAGGATTCTCATTCTCTTGTGGCCACTTGCTCACGAGGTTTCGGTGGCTGATGACAGTTCTCTTTACTATGCTCTAAGGTGGTCCTGGGACCTTAAACCTGAGAGCGTCCCAGCCAGGGGCACTCGCCATCCGGTGAGGGTGGCGCCAAGGGAGCTGTGCCCTGCGGTAAGGTCGGAGGGCGCCAGATAGAGCTTTAGTGGGGAAGTCCCTAGGGGCGGGCGCAGCTGCCGCTGATAGCGGGAAATCGAAACTCAAGCTGTTAAAACCGCTGCCTTGCCCTTCGGAATCGCATCTCGAGACTCCCTAAGCGTCCCTCTCGCTGTGGGCGCCCGGGACCCGCGGACTCAGAGCTATGTTCACCCGCACTCGGGTGGTGGGCTCCGGGCTCGGCGTCTCTCCCGCCCCCGGCCTGACCCGGGACCTCCCCGGGCGGCCCCCGGAGCCAGGCCGGCTGCAAGGTCCCAGACCCGGTTTGGAGGTGGCGCCCCAGAGCCCTGCGCGGGAAAGCCAGGGGCTCCAGAGCCAGCGGGTGTAAGTACTTAACAACCGGTTTTGGGGGCGGGAGCCCAGACCTCAAACATACAAGCACTTTCTGAATCACTGGAGTTTGAAACCACAGGGGCCCAGTAGCAGTGTTTTTGGGAGAAGGCAGCCTTATTTGCCTACACAAAAAGCACTCAGAAATTGTCTTACAAATTGAGTGTGCCAGTCTGCGGGTCTTTACTAAATGCCTGAGCTCCAATTCCTTTCAAGAACTCTGCTTTTCTGATTCTTGTGGTTGGCTACAGGATTGAAATGACATGTGTAGAAATCGCCTGCGCTTCCTGCTAACTTTCCAGAACTCAGACTCTTTAGTATGAGAATTTTTCCCCCTCCTGGTTTAATAAATCAGGGCTCTAAATGATGCCAGGGTAGGAGCGGAGAGGGAATGGGTTGGGGTATAGAGGTCCAAATGCTGCCTCTGGGAGCACTTTTGCATCTCTATAAAGTTCCCAGATAAACTTTATAGAACTTGGTAGGAGTGAGACCTGGTGAGGTCCAGAGTGACTGCAGGGTTTGGCGTCCTGACGTGGGTAGGTGCTGTGTGCAAGAACCCTTACTTACAGTGTGGAGCGGGTTGTGGGGCTTGATCCCAGACCGGGAGATCATGACCTGAGCGGAAGCCCCGAGTCAAACGCTTAACCTATTAAGCCACCCAGGGGCCCCTATTTATTTATTTTTTTAAAATGCGGGGGCCCCTGGGTGGCTCAGTGGGTTAAAGCCTCTGTCTTTGGCTCAGGTCATGATCCCAGGGTCCTGGGATTGAGCCCCGAGTCGAGCTCTCTGCTTAGCAGGGAGCCTGTTTCCTCCTCTCTCTCTGCCTGCCTCTCTGCTTACTTGTGATCTCTGTCTGTCAAATAAATAAATAAAATCTTAAAAAAAAATTAAAAAATTAAAAAAAGATGTGAACCAGTTGCAATAAGTAGAGCTTTATCAGAGACATCCCCTTTTACATGTTTAATAGTTAAGATCCTGTTTGGACCACTCCGAATTCTTGTCTCCATCAATCATTTCTACCTACTGTTTATTTCCACTTGTCTCCTTTAATGGAACTGGAAAACCAAGGAAAACGTTTGCCTGGTGAATAACATTTTAGTAAAATTCACACACACACTAAAAGCCATTAAGAAGGGGGTTTAATTTGGGGCACCTGGGTGGCTCAGTTGGTTAAGGGTGCCTTTGGCTTGGGTCATGATCCCAGAGTCCTGGGATCAAGTACCCAGTCTGGCTTCCAGCCCAGAGGGGAGCCTGCTTCTTCCTCTCTTCTCTGCTTGTGTTCTCTCTCACTATCTGTTTCTCTCTCAAATAAATAAAATCTTTTTTTTTAAAGGAGTTCAGTTTATTCATTTTTTAAAGATTTTATTTATTTATTTGTCAGAGAGAGAGAGAGAGAGCGAGCGGGAGCAAAAGCAGGCAGAGTGGCAGAGGCAGAGAGAGAAGCAGGCTCCCCACTGAGCAAGGAGCCTGATGTGGGACTCCATCCCAGAATCCTGGGATCATGACCTGAGCCGAAGGCAGGGGCTTAACCAACTGAGCTACCCAGGTCTCTCGATTTATTCATTTTTTTAATTTTTGGAGAGGAATTACAGCATTTTTCTGATGGGAAAAAGGAAGTAAAAAGTGCTTAATCTTCATTTACTCACTTTCAGTATGAGTTTATTTAGATGCTAAAGGATTGAGATTTAACATTCTATTGTATGCATCCCTCCATTCATTCATTAGGGAAGCACCAGTGTAGGTGAGGGAGTACCAGCTTTGGCTTCAGCTTTGAGGACCAAGGCACTTGGGTCCACATTCTTTTTTTTATTTATTTTTTATTTTAAAATTTATTTTATAAACATATAATGTATTATTAGCCCCAGGGGTACAGGTCTGTAAATCGCCAGGTTTACACACCACACGGCACTCACCATATCACATACCCTCCCCAATGTCCATAACCCCACCACCCTCTCCCTCCCCGCCTCCCCGCGCCACCCTCAGTTTGTTTTGTGACATTAAGAGTCTCTTATGGTTTGTCTCCCTCCCGATCCCATCTTGTTTCATTTATTCTTTTCCTACCCCCTAAACCCCCCATGTTGCATCTCCACTTCCTCATATCAGGGAGATCATATGATAGTTGTCTTTCTCTGATTGACTTATTTTGCTAAGCATAATATTGGGTCCACATTCTGATTCTGCCATTACTTGTCTCTGAACATCAACAGGGTGCTTAACTACTTTATGCCTCAGTTTCCTCATTATTTAAAATGAGGTAATACCAACCTCTGAGGGTTTCTTTGTATTTTTGTGTGTGTATGAATAAAAAATAAGGTTATGCCTGGTGGAAAGGAAATGTCCTTGGGTGCTGATAGCCTTGAATTCATTTAACAAATGTTTATTGATCAACTACCATGCTGTCATCCTGAAGGGGAGTGTTTGTACCTTGAAAAAAATACACTGATTTAAAACACCTACTTACATATAAATATAAATAGAGATTTTTAAGGCAATCTTTTAAAATTTTAAATGATTTATGAGAATCTCTAATAGACTCTAAGGCAAAGGCTGTGTTCTTGACTATATTTGGATTTAAGTAATTATAAGTGCTAATTCATATCAGCTCTCCCAGTTATTTTTAGTTGGTGATTTTCTCTTGGCCCTCAATATCCTAAGCCATCTACACAGATTTAAAGAGAAAGAAGCTCATATATACTTCAAATCCAAAGTAACACTTTCCCTTTCAATATTTTGCTTTTTTTGGTAAGTTATCTCACAACTGACTTCTATGATATCCAGATAAATAAAAGATTAAAGCGTGGGTTTTTCTGGAAGGGGGATTTCACCTGACTTTACTCAATTCTGGGCAATAGGCTCTTGTTTGTGAGAGCAACACAGGGTTCACTTCATTCAGAGGCCAGTCTATAATCATGCCTGAAAGTGGCCCTTTTGCTTGATGCTGTTTACAGGCAATAAAAAGATACTCTGAAAATGAGCCTATAATGTGGAATTCTGCTATACAGTTAAATTTACATCAGATGAACTGAATTCATATATAAATGAACAAATTTGTAGCCTACTTTATACTAAGAACTGAAGAGACTTAAAGATGAGCAACAATAATAGCAAACACATGTAATGCTTAGTATGTGGAAGTGCGTTCTATATATTCTCTTTCAGACCTCACAGCAACCCTGTAAGAGGATCTCCAGCCCTGGATATTTAATTAAAAATTGAGGAACAAGTAACTACTCAACAGAAGATAAGCCCTAATGTAGCTTAGAGTCTAATCGATGGGGCAGACAGTGATTAGGTAATTACGGGAGTGACTCTTCATCTGCCCTACAAGGAGAAGCCAGGGTCGAAGCTAGCCCTGGGAGCAGAAGTCTTGCCAAGAAGTGATGCTGGAGCTGCAGTCTACAGGATAGTTAGGCGCTGTGTGGGTTTTTTGCTGACGGTCATACATTATTCCAACACCAACCGACTTCAGTGCAGTTCTGACACTACTCAGAGTTAGCACAGACCCCGTGGGTTAGGGCCCAGTCTCATAAGACTGCCCCTGTTTCAGATACCAGCCACAAATGGGGGTCCCCAGACTACCCGCACTTCTGCCCGGCTGACTGCAGATGTGGGTGTTTCCATGACCTCTCATCCCCCTGTTTGATAATTCACTAAAATGAATCACAGAAATCATGGAAACCGCTCTACTTATGATTACAGCTTTATTATAAAGAGTACAGCTTAGGAACAGCCAAGTGGAAGAGAAGCACAGGGCAAGATATTGGGGTGGGGTGTTGCACAGAACTGCCATACCTTGTCTGGGTGGGCCACCCTCTCAGCACTTTGATGTGCTCACCAATACTCAGTCCTTATTGAAGAATATTTATTCTAGCCCAATTACACAGGCATAATTGATTAAAGCACTGGCCACTGAGTTCTTCATTGAACTCGGTCTCTAGCTCCTCTCCCCACCCCCCAGAGATGTTAGAAGGGCAGGCCTGAAAGTTCTAACCCTTTAATCATAGGGTTGGTTTTTCTGGCAAGTAGCTTGGATCCTGAAACATTCTGGGGTTATCTCATTAACATATAATCAACACTCTTATCACTTGGAATCCCAAGGATTTTTGGATTTCTGTGCCTGGAACCAGAGACAAAGACTAAGTTTTTATATTTTATTATACCATAGAAGTTTATATAGCCTCTGTGGCACTCAGGGAAACTTGCTATCCCAGATCTCCTTCAAAAGAACTTACTGTGGGAAGCCCAGTCCATTGACAGTCCCAGGGGTAAGCCGTTTGTCCATTATACCCTTTGTTCTGAGAGTACACTGATTCTGCATTCTTCCAGCCAATGTCTGAACATTCCAGGGTCCTAGAGTCAGCCCATTCCTGGCCTGGGTGAAACTTCTCTATTGGTCAACTTTCACCAGAAGGCTCCCCACTGAACTATCTTAGGATTTTCTCAGAGCTGTACGGTGGTCTGAGGCTTTTCCCACTCAACCCCCCCTCCCCTCTCTGCTTTCATAGGTATCAAATCTCCTCTTGTTCTTAAGGCTTTCACAGCCTACCCCTGCTCATTCCCCTTTGGTCCTTCACAAGCATTCTTCCCATAAACCTCTTACATATCTAATCCTGTCTTGATGTCTTCATTTCGGAGGACCTAAACCAACACAGCCTCTTAGATACACCATATCCCCGATTACAATAGCTTAGATACTACGTCTGTTGAAGTGCTGTATAATTGTACTGGGGAAACCCACTCTTTCTTCTTATTTCCTCCTTTTGGGGCTCCAGTTTCCTCATTTCCTTACTCAAACTTCGAAACTTTTCCCAGTTCGCTGTACTCTAAGGAAGGGAATAACCCGGGTAACTGATACTTTTCTTTCCCTTCATCCTTGAAGTCTCACAGGACAGTGAAGGGAGAATAAAGGATGGCTTGGTAAGACCCATTATTAATGGCCAATTCCTGGTTTCGCTCTCTCTTCCTCTTTAAGAGCACATGTTACATTAGTA